CTGTCATTTTGCTGTTTATTCTCTGTGTCTTGGGACTTTGTTTCTCTTTATCATTGCCTCTGTCTTAGTCTTGTTCTACTGCTGTGAAGAGGCACCAAGACCATGGCAACTCTTATAAAGGAAAGCATTTAGTTGGGGTTTGCTTACAGTGATTTAGTCCATTATCGTCATGGAGGGAAGAATTGCAGCATGCAGGTAGACATGGTGCTGGAGAGGTAGCTGAGAATTCTACATCTGGATCTGGCAGGTTTCAGAAAGAGAGAGAGAGGAAATAACTGGGCATGGCTTGAGCTTTGAAACTTGAAAGCCCACCCCCCAGTGAAAGACTTCCTCCAAGAGGTCACAAGTCCTCTAATCCCTATGAGCCTTTTGGGGGCATTTTCAAACCACCACAGCCTCTTCTTTTTGTTCTAACTTTTTTTATTGTTTTATTTTAGTTTATTTTTGTGAGTGATTGATGCAAGCTTCACAACTAACATTTGAATTTTTTTGTATTTGTCTAATAAGTTTATTCTGCTTGCTTACATTCAGTTTTAAATGATTTTAACTGATTCCCCTTAGTTCCATTTACTTTGAAAATTTTTTGTCTATTTATTATTTATTTATTTTACATCCTAATCCCAGTTTCTGCTCTCACTCCCTTCCACAACTCCTACTCTGCCCATCCCACCTAATCTACTCCTTCTTCATTTCTGTTCAGTAAAGGGCAGGCCTCTTAAGAATATCAACAAAACATGGCATACAATTTGCAGTAAGACTAAACACTTCTCCTTGTATTAAGGCTGGGCAAGTCAACCCAATATGAGGAGTAGGGTCCCAAAAGCTAGTAAGAGTTGGAGACAGCTCCTGTTCCTGCTTTTAGAAGTTCCACAAGAAGACCAAGTTACACACTCCCATATATGCAGATGGTCTCCGTCAGTGCCATGCAGGCTCCCTGGTCTGTTCAGTCTTGTGAGTCCCTATAAGCCCAGGTTAGTTGTTTCTGTGGGTTTTTTTTTGTGATGTCCTTGACCCCTCTGGTTCCTACAATCCTTCCTGCCTCTCTGTAGTTCGTTGTTTTTTTATTCTTTTACTCTTTTGATGGTCCGCTACCCAGCTCCCAAATAAATCACACACAGAGGCTTATTCTTAATTATAAATACCCAGCCTTAGTTTGGCTTGTTTCTTGCTAGCTTTTCTTAACTTAAATTATCCTTGTCTATCTTCTGCCTCTGAGCTTTTACCTTTCTCTATTTCTGTATACTTTTTCTTTCCTTCTCACTCTGTGTCTGGCTGTGTAGCTGGGTGGCTGGCCCCTGGTGTTGTCCTCTCCTTGTTCTCTTGCTCTTTCTTCTCTCCTCCCAGGTTTCTCCTTCTATTTATTCTCTCTGCCTGCTAGCCCTGCCTGTCTTTTCTCCTGCCTTGCTATTGGCAGTTCAGCTCTTGATTAGATCATCAGGTGTTTTAGACAGGCATAGTAACACAGCTTTACAGAGTTAAACAAATGTTCCACAGCATAAGCAAATGTAACACACCTTAAAACAATATTCTACACCTCTCTTCAGCAGGATTACCAAGCTCAGCCTAATGTCTGACTGAGGGTCTATGTCTCTGCTTCCATCAGTCGCTGGAAGAAGCCTCTCTGATGACAATTGCACTAGGCACCAATCTATGAGTATAGCAGAAATTTTTTTTTTGAAAATTTATTTGTACAATATATTCTGATCATTCTTTTCCTTTCCCCAAATCTTCCCAGATCCTCCCCACTTCCCCATCCATCCAATTCCATACCTTTTCTTTCTCTCCTTTTTTTAGAAAACAAACAAGCAAAAAACAAACAAATAGCACCACCCCCAAGAGAAATCCATACAAGAAACATACAGAAAACAAAACAAAAAAAAATACAAAAACACTAAATTGGAAACTATGATATACAAGCAAAAGACAAAGCAATGTGGGACAAAAAGTCTCCAAAAATAACACTGAATTTGTTTTGTGCTGGCCATCTACTGCTGGGCATAGGGCCTGCCCTTAAATGTGGTTTGTATACTTCGTCAGACTGTACTGATGAAGACTAAGTTTGCCTTTGCAAGCTGGTGTCAATTGTAGTTTGCCAATTACTTTTTGATTGTTTCATTTTAGTTTCTTTTTGTTAGTAATTGATCTGAGGTTTATAATTGCTATCTTAATTTATATTAATATGTTATGGACTAATGTCAATTTAATTTCAGCAACACACTAAAATTTTTGTTTCTATTTTGTTCTGTTTCCTCCCCTCCTTATAATATTATTGTCATAAAATTACATCTTTGAACATATAAAATTTACTTCTTTGAGAATTTCATACGTATACAGTATATTTTGATCGTATTTACCCCCTACACTTCCGGTTTTCCCTAGCTCCTCCCAGATCCACCCTCCTCCCCAACCCCTGCTAACTTTTGTGTCTTCTTTTTTCTTTAAATGATGAAGGAGTCTGGTTTGCAGTAGTTTTGTAACTGTTACTTTCTGAGCTGACCTTTTGTTTGTTTGTTTGTGTTCCTGTCAGTCCTGGGGATTGAAAGCAGACCTCATGCACATAGGCAATGGCTGTGTTGCTGAGCTGCTGTCCCAGCCCTGCCATTGTCTTTCAAATGACAGAAAAAATACAGAGTTCAGCTAACATTGTTCTATTTTTTTCATGTAGATTTGAGTTCCTGGCTAATGTCTACCTGAATCACTTTAATACTGCTGTACCAGAGTTCTGCTTGTGATGGATTCCTTTCCTTGTTTTTATCTGGCAATCTCTTTATTTCCCTTCCTTTGTGAGGAACAGCTTTTTTGTTTATTAAATTATTTTTTAGAAGTTTAAGCCATTTTACTTTTTTCTGGCTTCATGATAGATTTTTCTCTGTTTGCTTTTAAGATTTGTCTTCTTGAATGTTTATTGATTTCTTTTCTTTTCCTAAACTGAAAATTTGGTTATGATGATTGTACTTTGGATTGTACTCAGGTCACCAGGCTTCTTAACCCATGAGCCTTCTTGCTGGCCACCATTTTTGTGTTTGCTACAAATTGAAAGGGACTCCAATGAGGACAATGTGACAAATTTGGCTTTTTTATCTGGCACAAAAATATTCTTAACTTCTGTGTACCAAGGAACATGAAGTTTCAATCCTCTTTGATATTATAGTCAGTGTTGACAAGGCAAACGTTAGGGGTTCACTCTAAGAAGCATGGTATTGGTGACTAGGACGAATGAACTGTTGGTACTGTTCCAAGTGCTGTGAATGTATTGACTGAATCTCATTTACTTTGTGACATTGTTGGTAATCACCTTAGCTTTCTTAGGACTTTGATATTCTCATGTGTAAAATGTCTGTTGCTGTACTAAATAATCTCTAAAGTTTTTGAATCTGAAAGTTCTTGTTTTTGGTATAAATGATAAGGAATATAAAATCTCTGTTCCCAGGGAATTTATAACCAGATTAAAGAGATGAGAAATCCATGGCACTTCCTTAGATACACACAGATAATGGTCTCACTATAAGCGAACTACACAGTGCTGTTAGGATTTATATCATATGTGTGTGCTATTAAGATAGCACCAAATGTTTGAATGAGATTGAATTTTCATAACTAGTGAGTCAAGATGCTTTGGGTAGGAGATGACAGTTACATATGGCTTAGTGGGTGGCAGAAGCAAATGCAGACGGAATGGAATGGAAGAGTAAGGGGCAGAATGCCTGCTTCTTGCTTTCTATCCCATTTTTATTATGTAGGCAGTTGGAGAATGTGGGGTAAGAAACTGATGTTTAGAAAAAAGTAAAAACATTCTTCTTTCTTGAGACAGGGTCTCATTATGTAGCCTAGGATATCCTTGAACTTATGACCCTCCTGCCTCAGTGTCTTGAGTATTAGGATTACTAAAACTAGCTCCTTATATTTTGAGCATATTGTTAGAGGGTAGGGTATCACACAATATTATTATGTTGGAATAAATTTTCAGCAACTTTAATATCCTGTTAATGATATGTCTGAACAGTGATACTGTAATATGTGAGGGATTGAAGAGACTGCTGTGTGATTTTAGAAACTCAATGTTTTCACTATAGACATTCTGCCAGTTTTAAGAGTGTGGTGGTTTAAGTGAGAATGGCCCCCATTGGCTCATGCATTTGAATCCTTGGTCTCAAGTTAGTGCAACTGTTTGAGAAGGATTAGGAGGTGTGATGTAGGAAGAGGTGTATAAGGGGGCTGAGATTTGAGGTTTCAAAAGCCACATCATTCCCAATTAGCTTTTTCTGCCTTGTGTTTGTGGATCAAGATGTAATTTCTCTGCTACTGCTCCAGTGACATGCCTGTCTGCCAGCTGCCATGCTCTCCATCATGATGCTCATGGACTCTAACCCTCTGAAACTGTAAGCCCCTAATAAACTCTTTTTTTCTATAAGTTGCCTTATTCAGGTGTTTTATCACAGCAATAGAAAAGTAACCAAGACAATAAGGATAGTTAAATATTATTTAATATTTAAAATATACTTGATTAGGCTAGAAAATGGGTCTTGAAACTTTATCCTATCACTTCTGATGAGAGGATGAATGAACATCTATCTTAGTATCTGTGTGTTGGGCCAATACAAATACTCTTCAGGGTGATGGGAAATAGAGCCATGCTTTTCTGCAGTTTTATTTCTGTCCTTTTGTGTGATTCTTTATTTCTGCTGAGCACTACTCCTTTGTGATTGAATGATATTGAATAACTTTGTCAGAATAAAGGAGAAAATGAGAGCCAAAGGCTGACTGTTTAAAATTATTAAATTACTAGGGCATATCCAGTATATAGAGTTTTAATTGTGGCACAAATAACCAAATAGAAAATGACAGGTTTCTAAGAGTGGAGAAAACATACAGGCATCCCTTTGAACTGTGTGAGCACCCACAGCGCCTGTCCTGGTGGGCAGTGACTGTTCATTACCACATCAGTGGGGTAGCTCAGTGAATTATCATGCAGTTAGAGCCTCTTATCTAATTGCTTTCAGGTAACTTGTCCAGGAGTGGTGCTGAAAGACAAGGAGGACATCTATCTTAGTATCTGTGTGTTTGGCCAATACAAGAAGACACAATGTGTCCCAGCCACTTTTCCACTGGTCTTCAATGCCAGAATGGTGTTTGAAAAGGTGAGTTCGAAAATCAGATCGTGTTAACAAACAAAAATTAGTGATTCCAGTTTTGAATAAAATCCTGCAACATAAACTGTTATTACTGACTATGTGCTTTGGTTTGATTAAACATGAAAATTGTAACACATTTAGACTTTTGAAAATATTCCTTTTATTATGCATTGAATCAATTGCCTTTTCTTGATGTGACTCAGCCTGTTTCTAAAACATCTTAGAGGGCTTCATACAAAGCATGGCATCTTGACTGCTGAATAATAACTTCTTTACAAACTAAGGCACAAATAGGTAAGCATATGTTGAGTTTTACCTAGGAATATCTTGTGCTTTTCTGGTTCACCTAGTCTCTCTCTTCATTTTCCTTAAAAGTGCTGCTATTGGTAATTATTACCAACCATCTCCCCTTCCTCCCAGACTTATCTTGTCTTCTAGTCTTCTCTCCTCCCTCCCTTCTTCTTCCTTTCCCTCCCTTCGTCTTCTTTGCTTTCTTCAAAAATAAAATAGCCCACTGTAGGTGTTATCGTAGGTACTGATGGCACATAACACACAAGGCAAAACTATTTCTTCCTGGAGCTTAATAAATGCATAAACACAATAAAGGAAGGAGGAGAGATCGGGGAGAAATACTTTTTAAAAAAATATCAAAAAAGGCAATAATATTTAAACAAAGCTTGGATGAGTTACTTGAAGAACTGTGGGGAGAGAATTCTAAGTAGAGAGCTAATAAACACAAAGGTTTCTTGTAAGAAGTTTAGCGTGCTAAGGTGGGTTATTAAGAAGGTTGATAAGATCATCCTGAGGAGCACAGGTAAGAATTCTAGTGGGTGATATGGAGAGGGAGGCACATCTGGTAGAAATGTATTTGTGAGATAATGAGAAGCGGAGAGAAATTGGTGAAGATTTGTTTGGACGGTTGGCATGGTGATTTATTCCAGTGACTCCAGGATTTGAGGGACTTTGGCAGAAGGATTGAGACCAAACTGAGCTGCATAGTGAATCTTCCTCTCAAAATCCAAAACCAAACCAAACCAAGCCAAACCAAACCAAACCAAACCAAACAAAACAACAAAACCCCCCAACAAACCAAGATGTTTCTTTGGTTGGGAAGGAAAAGACACTTTGGGAATGGGATTGGGAAACAGTCTTACTTACATCTTCTTTGGCTTCCTCTTCCCATCCTGTCCCTGCTGTGTCCATGCCCTCTTCCTGCAGGTGTTCCCTGAAGCAGTAGACCCTGGAGATGTGGTTGCACAGCTTGAGTGTAAGTTTTAATTTTTAATTACTGATTAAAAAGCATTTTAGAAGTGTCATGCTTGTGATATTTGATTTGAGGTTAAGTAAAAGTTTAAAAGTTCTGGTAGGATTTCAAAAATGTTGAACTGAGATTTTTTTATAATTTAAAAAAATTTAAAATAAACCTGAAAATAGAGAAATATTTATCTTTTTTTGCTGTGGATAAACCGAGACTTTTTCCTCTTTCTGTTGTGGTCTGTGACAAATTTAGTATTACATATTTTTGGTCAAGATGGTATGGAGTGTTCCAATTGAGTTTCATGATAGGTGGAGAACAAAAATGTTTAATGTAGGAGTGCAGAAAGTCAAGAGACTCAAAGAAGCTCAGAGTAGCCTGCCTGAAAATATCTGTGCTTTTACTCCAGGAGTTATCAATTACATTTCAAGGCTCTGGATGACAGTACATACCACCTGTAGGGCTCAGCTCGAAAAAGCTACACAGACAGCAGTGCTAGGTATAAACTTGGGAAGAACCCGTTCAGGCTCTGGTTATGGAATGGAAGGCTGACACTTACGTTAAAAGTAGAAGAGGTCAGAGAGCAGAGACTGCTCTTTGCATCTCCAAAGGCCTGCGGTGCTGGACCTCACTCAGGTGTGTCCCTCATCCTTCCCCGACTCCCCACCCCAGGAGCACTCTAGCAACTTAGAAACATGGAACCTGGCAGCAAGCTAAAATTTTAGGATAGAGGGTACAAACAAGCCAGCCTACTTGCTTTCATGGGATTATGGCCTCGCGACTTATCCAGACAATGCTTTGCACCTGGGGCCATTATCTTGCTATTTCATGTCTGTTCTAGGACCTGACATTGCATTTTCCACCATGGTAAATAAATTCGGTGGCAATTGTTGCCTGATTTAGTATTTCCTGAACATCTTGTTCATTATCTGGGAAACCATATCTTAACAAGCATTAAGAGTGACCATTTCTCTCCTTTTGAGATTTTTTTCATTGAAAGAAACTAGTTTTCCCAACTATTTGATTAGAAATTTTAGGGCTATCAGATTATTAATTACTGATGATTGTTATTTGAAAAGTGTCTGATTTCCTGACTCAGTTTCTTTTCTCTTGAGCCTTCCCTTATGCAGTGAAATTCCACTTTTTACTGTCTACCATGTCTTCAAGTGCTGGTATTCCATTGCTCATATCTCTGTACAACTCACACCTGGTGATGATAGAGAACTTTCCTATGTATTTGTGGATTCAGTCTGGTGTCCTCCTAGACCATTCTCTACCTTCTGTATCTCTGTACTTCACTTTGCTCTGTCCTTATGGCATATAGTTTGGCTTCGTATGTTGCTTCTCAGGTCGCTTCCACAGCAGTCTTCACTACTTTCTTGTCTGTTGGTCTTCCTTCTTGTTGCACAGTCTTCTTTGTTCCCTAATGATTTCTAATATGGGAAATGAAAACTACACTGAGTGGGAGTGATGCCCATGTGCCTGTCACCTTGCTTCAGTAATTTTTGAGGTTTCATTAATCTTATCCCTTATTCTTTCTGGCCACTTGCAATATAGTTGGTTGTTTAAATATGTATTTTATACATTGTATCATTTTAGTACAGGTGCACAACAGATGGAGGCTCTATAAAAGAATTAACCACTATGCTATTATCACACTTAACAAAACAAGCAGTTCCTCAATAAAGTCAAACATTTTCTCATCTGTCCCCCTAAATATCTTTTTAAAGTTAGCTTTTAAAAATAAGGATCTTCTCAGGCTTTAGCTCTGACATGATGTGGCTATGTATTGTTGTTTTTTGTCTTTGCTCTTTTAGGGGGCCCACCACCCAGCTCCCAAATAAAGTACACATGGAGGCTTATACTTAATTATAAATGCTGGCATTTAGCTTGACTTGTTTCTAGCCAGCTTTCCTTAAATTATTCTGTCTACCTTTTGCCTCTGGGATTTTTCCATTCTCTTACTTCTATAAATTTTACTCTTACTCCATGTCAGGCTGTGTAGCTGGGTGGCTGGCCCCTGGGTCCTCCTCCTTCTCTGGCTACTTCTTCCCTCTTCTCCTCCCAGATTTCTCCTTCTATATCTTCTCTCTGTCTGCCTGCCTATCCTTTCTTCTGCCTTGCTATTGGACGTCCAGTTCTTTATTAGACCACCAGGTGTTTTAGAAGGGCAAAATAACATAGCTTCACAGAGTTAAACAAATGCAACATAAACAAAAGTAACATACCTTAAGATAATATTTTCCAACAATTTATTTCTTTTCTTTTTATCTGTAATGGTGTCCCACACTTTTCTGTTTGAATAATAAGCTAGGCCCTTCAGAGTATCCTGTCTCTTTTATATTGGCTAATTGCTTCCTTACTAAAGCTGTTTGTCTTGCTTATTGCTTGTATTATATAAGCTTCTAATAGAACTGGAGGTCTTTGGATTCAGGCTTATTTCACTTCATTTTGTTATTTGGCAAGGGTCCTTGATAGTTGGTCTTTTGTGCCTTTAAGCTTCAATATAGCATCATAAGAGAAGTGACAGAAACTGTTCACTTCAATAAAATACAAAATTGAACTTCCTAGCAAAGACAAGCATTGCAAATGAGAAAAGTTGCTGGACTAATATGGGATATTCCAGAATTTCCTCCTACTTATTTTACTATTGGGATGGTGAGTTACATATTGAAGCTGTGTGAGATTTCTGAGAGCTTGTGAGAAAACTCCAAGTAAACAAGACAAGAGTTTTGTAACCTCTGTCTCTCCATAACATGAATTTGTTCTTGGAATGTGCTTTGGTGCCCCTCCCAGAGTAGTAAATAGGAGTGGGTTTACTTTAGATTACCCACCATCTTACCCATTATTATTCTAAATGATATTTCCAAGCATAAGTTGTCCTCATTTCTGTATACATCCTAAACTCATATGACTTTACCTTTGTGATCGTATACAACTTGAACTCAAGTGCACTTTGCTCACATGACCTTGCTTAACCCTCAGAATATAAATTGTCTGGTGCCCTGAATAAAATTGGCTATGGCATCAGACTTTAGTCCACCTCATTTTTAGGCTTCACTCTCCCATGTTCACATGGCCAAATAGAGTGGCAACACATATCATTCCCAATTGTCATTACTTAAATGGCCCTTGTTATCATTGATAGTGATGTATTGTTACTGTACTGTTATTACTACTGGTTTTACTTTAGCACTAACCATTTTCATTTCAAACTCCATCTGCTCCTTGGGGGAGTTTCCAGAGACCAAAAATTCACTTTGGGCTTTAGGGAAATACTGATGTATGTAGTGTATTCTAATTACAGTTATTCCCCACTCTCTCAGAGACACCCCAATTCATTTTGTCTCCTCTTCCTCCCTACATGGCCTTTTCTCCCATTAATCTTGATATGTTTTGCTCTGTAGCTCATTGAGTTTAACCATGCTCATCTATGTGACTATGAGTTTGAAACTTGTTGGAGACTGGTGGGGTTATCAGTGGGTTTGTAACTGAAGACAGCTTAATCCATTAGGAGCCAGTAGTTTATCAGGGAGTGGTAGGGCCCCATGAGCCCCTCCTCAATCCATGATTGACTGTTGACAGGTTCAGTCTTGTGCATGCCCATTGGTGGCAGTTGCAGCTTCTATTAAATCATGATTGCATTCAATGTATCATGCTACTAATATACAGTCTTACAACCCTTCTCTATATCTCCTGGCTCTTATATTCTTATCACCTATTCTCTTCTGCAGTGTTCTGTTGTAGAATATTATTTTAAGGTGTGCTACGTGCTACTTTTGTTTATGTTGCATTTGTTTAACTCTGTGAAGCTGTGTTACTGTGTCTGTCTAAAACACCTGATGGTCTAATAAAGATCTGAACGGCCAATAGTGAGGCAGGAGAAAGGATAGGCGGGCCTGGCAGGCACAGAGAATATATATATATATATATATATATATATATATATATATATATATATGAAAAAAATCAAGGAACTAGAGAGGAAGGAGGAGGACATCAGGGACCAGCCACCCAGCTACAAGCCAGTCATAGAGTAAGAGTAAGAGTAAGATTTACAGAAGTTAGAGAATGGGAAAAGCCCAGAGGCAAAAGGTAGATGGGATAATTTGAGGTTAACAAAAGCAGACAAGAATCAAGACAAGCTAAGGCCAGGCATTTATAATTAAGAATAAACCTCTGTGTGTTATTTATTTGGGATCTGGGTGGCATTCCCCCAAAAGAGCAAAAACAAACAATTACAATGTTCCTTGAACCTTTGAGGAGGTGTGCTATAAACGTTCTGTTTATGACTGAGCATTCAACAATCACATATTCATAACACCTTGAATAATGTTCATTACAAAGAAAAGTGTCTCTGAGTGTGGCTGAGAAGTAGCCTGTGTCTGTGGGTATAAACATAGGTACTCAGAATGCAGCTTGGCTCCATGACACATTAGCTTTCATTCTAGCACTTAACATCTCCTCAGCTGTGGATTTCTGGCTAGGTTTACATTGCAGGCATGAATTCCTTCTTGTGGAATGGGCCTCATATCCAATCAGAGAGCAGTTGGTTACCTCCCTCCCCATAACAGTTGTGCCACTACTGCGTCAAGTGGCCACATTTTGCTTTGCAGATGGTGTTTTTTTTTTTTTTTTTTTTTTTTTAGAATCTACAACTGGATAACTCCTCTGATGCCTTTTTTTTCTGAATAAGCCAGAAAATGGTCACTGGTATGGCAAATGCCTTAAGGGAAAGGGGATAGCAGCAAACACAGGTGATATGAAAACAGAAGGAAAATACTAGGGGAAGAACCTTGGATGGGATAGGAAGGAATGAGAAAGTTGAGAGGGGAGAAAGGGAGGAGTGACCATAAAGGACAATATAAGAAAAAAGCCACATGGAAACCAGCTACTTTGTAAGCTAGAGAGGGAGAGAAGAAAAGAGGGGGATTAGAGGAAGGATAAGAGATAGATAGATAGATAGATAGATAGATAGATAGATAGATAGACAGACAGAATATAAATGGATT